TAGAATAGTTTCATGAACAGTTGCTAATGCTGGAACAGTTGCTAATGCTGCAGAGCAATAAAGCACAAGTAGCAAAGGGATGAAAGTGTTATTTTTCAGAGGTGTGACGATCTGGTCATGCTAGACTGTGTACAAAATACACAACAAGGGCATTAATAAGTTTAGATATCACTAAAGATGCTGACATTCTTAAAATTCTTCACTACCTCTTTCTGCAATTAAATTTAAAATGAAACTGAACAATTCAAATCTATCAGCTCAGTTAAATTCTTATATTCATGCCAACGTGATCACATGAAATGCTTGCCTCATTAAAGGATTCTACAAAATAAATCCTATAACTTTTGGTAACTGCTTGACCTTAGCAGGTATTAAACTGCAAATTTTTAACTAAAAAAAAATTTTAAAAAAAGTTATTTTCAACAGTCTTAGCACTGTTACGTTCCAGTTTTTCTATCTGTGCAGACTGAACTATGTAGTAATAATAAATCATAAATTAGATAGTTTAGAATAGTTAGATAAGTTAGATAAATGTCCAAGAAAATTATGATTCATTTGCTGTAGTGGTGTGAAAATTTTTTTTCATTGCAAATCAATAATGTGCATGAACTTTGAACAGTATTACCCTTACATTTGTCTATACTGCAACTGCTCTCTGCATACGTACCAGAATAAATGTTTTATTGTCAAGAAAACTAATTAGCTTTCTTCAGATTTAGAGGACATGTGATATTCTTAAGTGAGACTTTTCCCATGAAAATGAAATAAGCCTAACAATAGCTGATGTCAGGTTGTCCTAAAGAAAAAAAAAAGTCTTCACAAAGCTGATGATGCTTTGCCTCTACTGATTGACCTCAGCTAATACTTGCTTATCTAAGTGAAACTAGGTTAATATCCAATTCATTTGGCCCCTGCTAAATTTCAGGAAGATGTATCTTTATACAGAGAGAACAGTTAGTTTTTTTCACCACAGTCTAATGCCTTAATAACTTAAAAAATATTAGAGTGTTTTTTTCACCTTACTTTACAATAGAGGCATTGCTAATTAATACTGTGAAGCTCTTCAGTGATTAATGTTCACAGGCAATGAAGTATATTTAAAAAAATGGCATGGAGACTTGGGTTGCTGGGTATTTCTGCTGCATTTAGATGTTTAAATAACCTCTTTACAATTTTTTTGAGGTGCAGAAACTGCCCAGTCTTGTTGAATAGTGTTATTTCAAACTTTTCATATTCTAGTTCTATTCTCATTCTTAATTCTTTATTTTATTTGTATCATTATTATTTTTTCAGAGAATTAATATTTCCTCCTTTTTGATTTTGAACATGCAGTGGGGCGGCGGTGGGGGGTGGGGTCGTAGTTTCTTACTTTGCAACCAAAACATTTTTACTATTAGTGTTTATATTGGGTTTTCTTTGTCATTTTTAGCATATTACTGCAAGATGACTATGAAAAAACTGCATAGAATTACTTACAACTGCCCTTAAGCAATCCAAGACTGAATACTATGACACTTTACCAAAGTTGGAGAGAACCTCCAGGGTTGTCTTCTCATTTAGCACTAGAATGTACTTTGAAAACCATTTCTGTACAACCAAGAACTCTTTCTGTAACAAGCTATGACCAAAGATGTGAAGTTGTTTTAATTTGGAACAGAGCTGTCTCTTGTAACATAGCAACAACCAATTTAATTTCTTCTCTGTTTATTTAAGGACCATCGAAGAAATGCCAGTGCCTTTTAAAATGCTAAGTTATCTTACTTTCCAAAAATACAGCAGTGAGGTGCTTGTAGTCAATGAATTTCATGGCTTAAACTTTACTTGCGGTAAGTGTTTAAAAAAAAAAAAAACTTTTAAGCCCTTTGTAAGTAACTGTAATGAGATGCTAATGTTTATTTTCCTTCTGCATGCAATTAAAGTATCCTTTATAAGTTAAAGATAACTTTAATTAGAGAAAACTTACCAAGTTGTAAAGGCTTATTGTAACTCCCTATCAGTAAACTAGACAAAAGTTCAGCTCATTCTCCTTATTTTGTGCCTCATCCTTCAGTTTTCCATCTGTCCCTTCCTCACCTTTTTCCCACTACCTTAAGCAATTTAGGAGGTGGACTTTGCACCCTGCCATGTGCTCATTAGGACAGTGTTACCCCAGATCAAATAGAAGAAAAAAAAAACATCAGTGCAAGGAGAACTGACATAAAATATCTGACCAGACGTTTCTTCTGACACCAGTGATGCAACTGTTCAGATATGTTACCATGGAAAAAGGAGTAAAGGCAGCCTTGTTGATCTAAAGCTGTTATGGGCACAAGTGGCAGGTTAAAGAGCTAAGTCCAAAAGGTCAATATCACTGAGTTCCATCAAATTTCTAGACAGTTCCTGTCCATTTTTCTAAGTGTTGAGCAGCTTAGATCTGTCAGGCTGTGCTTTGCTGGTTGTGAGCAAGATGACTGGCAAAGCATCAGAATCAGGTTGAAAAGGTTAGCAGTCAGCAGCCATCAATGGAGGTAAAACTTGTAGCTTTGGACATGCCCTAAGGCTTTGATCATCTCCAAGGTTATATAGTCTTTATCCATTATTTTTCCTCACTCTCCTGCCCTTCCTTATTACAAGAACATAACTAGTAAGTGTTAGAACATGACTGTAAGAGTAACTGCTAGAAAATGAATCCATGATTTTGGTAAGAATTATACACAGCTGTTTTTTTAATGTGCCCTTCTGTTTCTCAAATTCTGAAAGCAAATATGAACAATAAAAGTCTATCATACCAGGCAAATTGCTTCTTCAGGCCCCCTCCATACAGTGCATCTGATGAGCCCTAAATTGTCTTCTGTTTGGCATGAATGAAACAGAAAGCTCCTAGAGACTCTTCATTCTTCCCTTCAAAAAAATATGGCAAAGATTAACTACAGAAGCACATAGAAAGTCTGTTCCTATTCTAAAGGGTGAGAATGTGAACTATAGGCATGGGTCATCATTCAAACAAATGTTAGGGTAGCTAGATTAAATGTATGAGCTAGATACTGAGGAGCCTGAGTTTTAGTTTTACTGATTTACCTACACAAGGAATTAACTGTTTTTTTTTTTCTTCTTTTGGCAGGTAGACCCAACATTTCCACTGCAGCTAGTTCAGCATGTGATTTATTTAACGGCATCCAGTTCATTGAAAAAAACTTTCCTGGTGCAACGTCCCGCTTCACAATGGATTTCTTAATGCTCTATGCTTTTCTACCAGGACTTGTCATTATAGCAATTGTGAGCTTTAAAATAAGAGATATAATTATTAGCAGGCAATAAAAAAAAAAGCAATTCTCAACTTAACATATAATAGTACATTTTTAATTCTATTGTTTCTGAAGGCTTGTTAGACTTTAGATGGACTTTAAGAGATTCTACATAAAACACAGAAACATGTTTATCTTCTAACTAAACGTATGTTTTCTGTCTTGAAAAACATCTTCTCTTAAGAGTGTGAATGGCTTTCTGCTCTTGGGATTTCCCCCCTGCACCCCATGAGGAATATCAGCAGTATTACATGGTCTAAGTGACCTTTTGAATATAATTTAGTCTACTGATGGTGCCAATTTTTAACAATGTATCAACGGTGTTCTAATTTCTTTCCCCCCCTCCCCCCACCCTACCTAGCGCTATTTTAATGAGGGCCAGTAAGCAGAGCGGTATAATTGCTAGTAAATTTTATTTCTAGAATTGCATTTTAAGTATTAAACTTTGTTGTGATACTGTTTGGGGGGATTTGTAAAAAGGGAATAAACTGCATGCATGTAAATAAAGACAGAATTGAGAAAGGACTCCACATTAATCCTATGCATACTATACAATCGTGGCAGCAATGAGTACTGAATCTTAAAGCAATATAGAAGTAACCAACATTCTGTTGTCTTGTAAATGATGATAAGTGAGAGAAGGTAGTTATTTATATCTGTTTTTTTCCTTTTCATTATCAAGTTCTAAATCTTGTTTTAGATTATTTAATTTTTGGTTTATTAATAAAAAGTTAATTTAGCTAGGGAAAAATATGTAAAGGTTGTTTGCCATTTCTTGGAAGTCATGTCATTTGCGTCTTTGTAAATTATTCTTGTGAGCTCTGTACAATGCAGAAGAGTCCAGTTTATCCCTCCAAATTAATAAACACAAGTAAATTTCAAAAACGAAAGTATAGCAGACACTGAATTCACAGCTTTTGTAACTTGATTTTCATATTCATGAACAAGTTATTTATTAAAGAGAGGTAGCTACAGATTACTGCATGGCATTATGGGATTTTAAGGTGTAAATGTACTTAATAATATAATGACTTTAATTTGATAGTTTTGAAATGATACTTTCTTTTAACAAAGAGTATGAAATCCTCCCTGCAAGGAAGTTAATGCAAGTTTTCCACTTAACTAGGAGGCCAAGATTTTATTCTGATATCTTTATATATGTGTTATTCCAAGACACAGATGTTACATCTGAAAAAAAAAATCTTCATTGAACAAACATGTTAAAAATAATAACTAACTCTAAAGAGATGATGGAAAGACATCGCATTAGTTTGTCCTTTCATCTTCATCATCATTTTCATGCTGATGTCAAGTTTTTCATCAAGAAACATTCTTACCATCTAGTCTGCCAGGTGGCTGTTCAGACACGTACTCTGACGACAAGTCTTAGCTCTCAGGAGACACCTCTAGCTGTAATCCAGATCTTTTGTCTATTCTCAAAGGGCTCAGTCCAGCTGACTGTATGGAGGATGTCCTACATTTTGTAGTTTAGGCTAAATATGAATCAGTTATTCTTTTACCATTAACCACGTACCTTTCAAATACTAGGAAACTCATTCTAATCAATTTGACTATTTGATAGAAATGCCTTCTTTCCAATTCTGTGCAAAACTATTAAAACTTTATACAGTAGAAGAAACATATAATTGGCTTATTCAACTGTATGATACTGAAACTGAGACAAAGAAAACTGAAGTTTAGAGAAGTCAGACAAACTTGATTTAAATTTATTTTATTCTGTCAGCTTTTGTGAAAGTATCATATTTAAATATATCAAACTACGGTCCAAATATAATGTTAAATTTTGCCTTTGAATTATATATGCAAGGACCTCAGAAAAGATGCCTAGCACACTTTAGTATGGAGTTTCATTCTTTGCCTGTGAAAGCTTGTTTACATTTAAACACATATTTAAGGTAGAATCATTCAAAATTGAATAGCATAATTTGTTATAAAATAGGTAGGAACGACTAATGCCAGTCTTCATACTCAAACGCATCTCTGAAAAATATGGAAATCTCCTCTCCTCCCATTTTTTTTAAACTATGTGTCACTACCAAGCTATACTTTAATTTGGATTGAACTAATAAACAGATGTCTTAATAATATAATAATAAGAATGCTTAATAAATATTGTTAAATTTATAGTTTGATACTGTACATTTTTAACTGCATCAAATTAAACTGCTAATACAATGTTTAAAAAAATGATTTTGTGCATGTTAAACTGAAGACGGCTATAGCAGTTCAATCAGTCAAGATCAAAATCCATTTCCTTCCAGGATTTAGAGGCATTTCTCTTATATTGGTCAAGTTCCTAAAACAGAAACATAGATGCAGATTACTCTAATATCCTCATGATTGAAAGGAACAAGAAACATACAATAGCCACCTAAACAGTTAGATCATAAGCAAAAATTTTCCACTGGAGGGGAAAAAAAAGGGTACTGTATTATTTTTAGCAAAATTATACCAAAAATCAAAGTGCTATGCTTTGTCACATTTGCTCTCAGATAAAACAACTACACTTTTTTTGGCCTAGACATTTGCTTTCTAGGATAGAAGAAAGTTTTGGTGTTTTCTTCCGTAGACATTTACTTTTGAGAAATTAGGCGCACTGTGAAGATTCAGACATGTACCATTACACACATTTTAAAAACAGAAACCAGAATTACTCTACAAAAAACCCACTATTTCATACCCCAAGTGCCAAAGTTAGGCCTTTCAAAAGCAAAGCATATTGGTAATTCACTAGGAATAGTAAAAGAAACCGTAATAACAAAGCCTGCTTTATTTTAGCGCAGGACTGAAATGAACTTCCAATGAAAACTTATCACCAGCTGTGGTAACTTGAAGAGCTACCTGCGGACCTTAGAAACCCTAGGACCTTAGAAAACAAGGCTGGACATACCAGGAATATGCATTTCATACATATTGCATGTGTTCTCCTAGTGGTACATCTGTGGCCAAAAAAAGCTAAAGCTGCATTTTTGCCTTTGCTAGCTTTCACATTCTTGTTCAGAAAGCAGTAAGCAGAAATGCAAGAAAGAGGAATGCAAGAGGTGTTTAGGAAATCAACAGCCCCTATCTCCTCAACCTATGGTTTTGGATATTTGTGGAAATAATATTCCTTGCTGCTTTGGCTTCTTCAGAAAATGTGTTACTCATGAGTAGAAAAAGACGCCATGCTTTAATTTTTTTGTTTTTCAGTTAGTAGTTAAACAAAATCCTCTCAGATGCTACCATTTAGTAGATTGAAGTTTGCAACTGCATGTGAAAAACTGCAAAAACAAGGTGGAAATTATAATAATGCATCTTCTAGACAGTATTAGGGCACCCTTAAAACTACCTGTATTGATTATTAAAAGCAAATAGAAGCTTGAACTATGGAGGTATAAATCAAGTGAATTAGGGAGGGAAGATGAGGCAGTCTACACTATAGTGCACTTAACACCAGCTGAATATGAGTAAGGAGGACAAATGACCTTGTGTCAGCCCAAAATTTTACTGGAAATTTTGAAGCCTATAATAAAAGGCTCTAGCAACATTAGCAAACAACAGTTTCATCATCTGAATTTTATGCAGTGGTGTATAGTGTCAGGAATTATTTCTGAAGATTTTCTTTCAGCATAAGTGATTTGAAAATCATTATAATTGCTTTACATTTGTAAAAAAATACAAGACTTTTGCAGGAAGGTGATACTGTAATGAAGTAACTGTTAGACCTACCATATGCTGTTTGCAATGTAAAAAGTCATCATATCTTACTTGTATCAGGTGAGCATACTAGCCATCTATTAACTACAACACAGAGCGCATAAATTATACTGAAATTCCTATCAAGTTCGATTAGTTCTACAGATACTTTTGATATAGTGCTACTATGATTTACCAAATCCCTGCAGTATTAGATTCTATATTGTCAAGGATCTTCTTGGCATTTAATGCTTTAAGAAGAAAAACCTAAAAAGATGGAGAATATTCACCCTTTTGGAAATTCATTCTAAAGTGAAACAGAGACAAAATATTTATTTTACAGTTAAGTAATTCATAGACAACTAATACAGAACATATTGTGTCCAATCTAAATCTAGTAAGTTGCACTATTAAATAAAACTCTAGTACTACTGAACTCTTCCATCTGTAAGGTAGTCTTTACTCAATATTTTCACTCCTTTACTATTAATATCAAGCAATTATGATCTTAAAACTGTTGGAAACTTGCCAACAGTTAGGAATAGAGAGAATATTGGAGTGTTTTAAGAAGCTCAAGTATTCTGATTTATGCTAAGCTAATAATTTCCATTCTAATAATTTTCTTAAATGTTACAGAAAGAGGTGAAACTAGACAATGAACTTTTACATATAAAGACAATGCTGTGGGTCATGTCTAAAGGTGCTATCTAAAATATTAGCCTTACAGATTTATCCAATCTGAATAAACTGTCTCAAGAAAGAGGCAGATAATTTAGCAGATTTTTTTTGCTGTAATTTTAGCTAGCCAGAAGGTCAGTCAACATAAAGGCAGTTCAAAAAGATACAAAACTGCAAATAGATGCCAACAGCATATATTAAAATTATTCTGCTATTCTACTACAGAGAGAAGTAGAGAGCAAAATGAGAAATAGTATTTTGGAGACATATCAAAATATGACTACATTTAATCAATAGTAAATGAAAGCAAAAAAGAAGATGAAACGGGAAGAAATCTAACAAAATATCATCTTCAATAAACTCAGTGATTCAACGGGGGAGGGAGGGGAATATTGTCAGGAAAATATATTTCTTTAGTTCTGGTGTAAAATAAAAAGTAAAACAAACCCCTGTAAGCCTGAAATGTAATGGAAAAAAACTGTTTCAATTTTACCTTAAAGATCAGTCCAGAGACTGAAAAAAAACCCACCTTCCTGCTTCTAAAGTCCTATACTATAAACATGACCCAGAATTCTGGAATATACTATAACTATACAAGCAGCTAAGTAATCCCTTCCTCAAACTGCAAGAAACTCCTACAAAGGAGTATACATCCAAATAAGCAAAAACGTTCGCAGTTAGCTAGCACTATGCTTCCTTTGTTTTCTGGGTATCAAATACAGGGCACCCAGATCAGAGTTATGGAAGAAAAATTCACAACTGCAGTTTAAATATGTTTTAAACGTTCTTTCAGTGTTTTAAATATCATTAGTGTGCTAGAAATTCAGGTCCTAGATGTCTCTGGCATAAAGTAAGTAGTTTTTTTTTTTTTTTTACCGTAATGCTTCTGCATTTCAGTGTTTCTGTAAATTCTTCATCTGTCAAACGGGGAAGATCACACCTAATCTTATAAAGATATTAGAAAGCCTTAACTGATGTTTGTGAGGTACTCAGATAAGATATACCACACATTCTCAGTGAAAAAAATTAATACTTTTGTGTTCATTGAAGTGTCTGAATGGCAGGCTGAGAAATAAAGGTACACAAAGAATAAAGATAATGAAAAGAAATACCGAACAATTGAATGAGACATCAGGAAAATAGTATATGATCATGTAATTAAAGACAATATCATAATGTCTACAAACAAGGAGGAAAAATTAAGATTGCAGGAGAAGCCTTAATTGTTGTATTTCTTCAATTCTGAGGGACTGACATCGCAACTATCTTTCTATGCAGTTTCTTACTAAAGTTGCTCTCAAACTGTGGCATAAGATCTCTGAGAGTTGACTTTAACTAGCAGAAATAAAAGGTCAGGTAGGTCGTTCAACCATGGGACACAAACTCTTCCAGTGGATACTACAATATTTATCTATTATCAGAGACTCAAGTTATCTGTATTCAGATCCAGGTCCTAGAGTACATTCATACCATTCTATCTCTACCTATTTATCTACAAAGCCTGTATCTGCCCCCTCCCTTCCCTAATCACTACCTGGATCCATCCTATCTAACTCACTCATCTACTCTTTCATCTACTTCTATCTAAACTCATTTTACTTAAGTTTCAGGTTTCCCATTCCTCCTCCTGCTCATCTCTACCAGTTCTCTCCTATAATACTTTGAATCTCCATTCCTTCTTTCCATTTCCTTCTCTCCCCCGCCCCCAATTAGACCATTTCTTCCTTCTTCTTACTCTAGGGCACTAGTAAAAGATTTGAAAGAAGAATGAAGACAGCCTCTCTTCTCTGTTCTAGCTAGGACTGAAGTAACCTGTGAGAGTACTTGTGGAACAAGGTCAAACGAAGGAAGTAGTGAAAAAGTCTATTAAAAAAAAAGTCTTAAGCACCTAAACTTCAGTAGGGAGTTTAGCAATAATAATATTCTAATATAGCTTTTAAAACAACTTTAAAATCAACTTCAGCAAAGTGTGTTGGACACATTTGGGCATGTTTTCATGCGAAAACAAGAAAGCTTATTCTTGGTGCCTGAGTAAGCTTCCTAAATACCTTTTTCTCCACAATATGAAGAGTGGGACTTTTCCTCCTCTTTTAGGCATGCCAAGGTGCCTGCCATTCTCCTCTGCCCAGTATCACCTGACCAAGGAGGCCATTGACAGGACATCTTCTACTCTGTTGAACGCGATCAAGTTCTCTCTTCTGAAGCTCTGTAGCATGTTCACAGCAGAGAAGTATACTGTACAAATATGGCTGGCTCTCACGCTGTTGGCCAGTCCAGTCCCAACCACAACCAGATACTCATGGAGCCCAAAGGACAGCTGCAGACCTGACCGTGGGTTGACTTCTAGTCAAGAATGACATGGAAATGTGACTCAGGGGAAACAGCAGCACACTTCCTCAAAAAAGGATCGTAGAATCACATTTTGTGAATGACAGCAGATGTCTTCAGGCTAGACTCTCAAAGAATACACAGCAGTAGCATAAGCTACAGATAGACAAGTCTGGTGTTTGCATGGCTGATGAAAGGACTGGTGACAGGATATATTTTTATCCTTACTGTGAGTATAGCTGATTCCACTTGAGAAGTCCTTTCTTCCCCCTCTCCTCTTTCTTATTTAGCTCTGCTTCTGTGTAAGAGTTTATAACCCAGTTCTTCGTGATATGCTTCTATTCCTGCTTGCAAGCTAACATCAAGCTGCACCAGGCATCTAGTCTGTTTTTTTAGCAGTGGAGGCGGGGAGGGGGAAGTATACTTGATCGTATCAGGCTTCAGCTAAAACTGGCACCAATCCCTAAAGTAATACCTTTGTGTGACAAGGACCTGTTGGCATGAACTTTGGCATTGCGTGACGCTGATTTCTTGAGTATCTGATTGGGACAGACTATCTAATTCTCTGAGCTTGAGGTTAGCTTTATCATTCGCTTCAGTGAACGAAGCTGCAGTCTAATGTCTAAATGAAAAAGGTCCACGCACCTATTTGACTACTAGTTAGTGTTATAAGGCATAACAGGATAGTTAGGACTTGAAACAAACAAAAACTCTTCAAAAGACATTTGGAGTGCTTACTTTTGTGGTACAGAGCATTTCTAAAGAAAACAGAGCAGTCACTCTTATGTGCCATCTCGCTGCCAGAAACATTTAGAAGGAACTAAGAGAAGAACAAGACTTTTATGCACTCATAGGTGTTCACGGATGCAGGTGGTGCATGTGCAGCTCTAACTGACAATGTTATTTTAGAATTTTTCTCTCTTACTTGAGTCATATGTGTACCTAAAGTTAAATCTGCAGAGACACAAATAATATTCAAGTCTGACAGAAAAGATTCAAGTGACTAAATTACCATGTTAGACAGACAACCTTAAAGCATCAAAAGCTGAAAAACTAGAAGAGAATGGAGAGAAATGGTCCAAATGATTTAATGACAAGTTCACCATCTTGTTTGATTAGTACGTTGTATGAAGTGTTAACAGCAAGCTACAGGTTTGTGGTTTAATGAATATGTAAAATAAACATTTTGTTTGAATCTCGAAAGCCCAGTGAAGATCAGGAAATCCAGTCAGTCTAGAGAGCCTGTGCTAGTTAAGAAATACACTAAAAATGTAAATTTCGGAAAGGTCCCAGGTGCTGCATGAGACTAACATGCTGAAACTAACCCTGGAAAACCAAAAAGAAGCAAACAATTTCAACAGCAATAGTTGATATACATCTGCACGTTGTAGATTTGTTGGATAAGAACGTGAAAAATAATTCTGAAAAGACACAGTTGACAAAAAAAAGAGGTGCTCTATCTTGAATAAAGGCATGGTGAAGAAATGGTAGCCGCAGAGAGTTTTCCAGAGCAGGAAGTCTGGGAATAGGGTGGTAGCCTCATAGTTTGAACATACTGAAGAAACAATCTGGTCTAAAAGAGAGCGCTCTTGTGAGAGAGTGCTGATGAGCTGGACCCTAACTTCCACACCCAGAAAGTGTCTCAGATAAACCCTGGCAGCTTGTACAAGAGACTATATCAGGCATTTTCTTTTTTCTGTACTTTACTTTTCTGGTTATTCTCTAATTTTATACTCCAGAATTTAACCTTTTATTTTGCTGAGCCGTTTCTTTCTCTAAGGTGATTTTATGCTACAAATAATCTTAGCTAACCCTGTAAAGACACATTATTTCTCTGCAAATGCTAGCTGCAGACAAACCCTTCAAACAAGTATACAAACTTGGAAGCCCCTGGAAATAAGAATATATTATCCAGAGTACAAGGATCCATTCTGAGACTGGCTGCACCAAGTGCCAGGATACTGAAAGGCTCCACACAAGAGGGAGGCAAGAGAGAAATAGTCCTAATTTTATGAAACTTTGTACTGTCTTAGCCATCCATACATTTATTACAGCATTATTTAGCAGTCCTGACCGAGACTGACACTTCATTAGGTATGCTAGTCCTAGTATTAAACATACTGACAGATGCTATATTTTGTGTCCTATTACTATGATTTTGTATTTATTTTTCCTTTAAAGCTTATCTTTGAGATAAATGAGCAAACTGGTTATCATCTAGAGTCCAACGTGGCATATTAATTAAACGGAAGTAACTGAGAGAATGATAACGTGCACTTAAATGTTTTTAGAAAATGCACCATCTTTATATGTAACTTTCACTTTGCATTGTGTCCCATGATTTCATTAGCAACATGCTGCACATTAAAGATTTTAATGTAGTGTTCCTCCTAAACAACAGATAGCATATGTGTCTCTAAAAAGAACCTTAGACTTACGATGTACTTAAAAATTTGCTTTCAGAATAGGATTTTTGTACCTTTTTCACATAATTATGATAAATTCAAAGATATTTTAGACTCACTGTAACGACAGAAGTCTTTTCTTACAGATGTATATTGCTATCTTAGTGCACTACAAATTGAATGAAATTCTAAGAGTATAAAACATTTTAATAATGTGCAGATAATCTTGTAATATTTAAACTTCAAGACAGAGAAATTTAGAAAATAGCAGATAGCAAAGGCAATTTAAAGCCCAGATTGCTTGTGATAGTCCAACTGAAAGAAGCTACACTGGTTTCTAACGCCCTTCAACAGATTAGTATTCTAAAAGCCTGTTTCTTTTGTTTAAAAACAGATAATTAGTATTTCTCTATATGATTTAATCAACACCAGTATCTTGTTTTGCAAGACGTAAGTATTATCTAATAATAACAAACAGTTATACTGAGTATTGATTTTGGAATTTATAATGTAATCTCCTGTGCTTTATAAATGGGAGCACTTTAATGATTTCTAAGATTGTTCTTGATATAACAGGCCTTTAAAACTGATGACTACACTAACAGGATATTGCAGGCAATATGCAAGTTCAAGGACTGCAGGAGATTCTTGTAATTGCTTTATTTTTATATTATTAATCTGTTCTAACCTCAGTCTAGTTCTCCATGGAATTTTTCTATAAAATTAGTTCACCACAAATATTTTGGCAAATTCAGAAGCACTACGAAATGAATACAAAAAATTAAATGACCCTTTCTTCTCTAAAGGTGTGTCCTGGAAGTCAGGGGGTAAGTCAAATACCACAGGGTAGAGTAATTTTGTTTACTGTATTTTTAAAACAAAAAGTTCATAAACCACAAAACTTAGTCAGTAAGATTATCATCTCAATATCTTTCATAAACTCCAGTTTAAGCAGAAATTTTGAAGAGGGAGTGGAGGATAGGAAACAAACACTCCTATCCTAAACCTCGGATGCTATTCCCTAGACTAAGTGCTAACAAATTCCCAAATAAATACAAAGTGAAGAAATGGAGAAACTTCTGTCAAGAAACCTTCACAGCTTGGCTTCAGTATGGATGATGAGATTATTTCAGTGAAATAATCCTGGAAGAGAGCTAGAGGGAAAATTCAATTCCTTCATTTCTAAAGAAACCACAGAATGAAAACTTTCATGTCTAACAATGTTCCTCCTGCTAAATGTTTATCAATTGGGGAAAAAAAACAAACAGGAAAAACCCCCCTAAAATTGACTAAAATTCTTGAATTCAAGTTATTTAAAGGCAAAAAGGGTGCTATGGGCATACCCTACAAGTACTTCAGCATGGCAGTGGTTCTGGAATAACAGACTGAACAGCTATTGGAAAACAACTACATACCTGGTTTTTCTGAGCTCTCATGACATCAACTTCATACTCAGCATATTGTAAATCCTGAGCAGGGTCCTTTGTATATTGTAAATCACAGGAATTCTAAAATAAAAATGAGAAAACATAAATCACAAATTTAATCTTCTGTTCCTTCAACAAGGAGACGCCATGTGGTAGAGTCTAACGGAAGCATTTTGCTTATAATACAAACGTATTAAATTGCTGCCTTTAGGAAGAGTTTTTTGCTACTGGACACAGATTAGATTAAAAAAACACAATACATTATACTGGACTGGCAAAATGATGAGAAAGTAATAGCGCAGTTAGATCTTAAACAACTATGAAATAAGAATATTTTCTTTCTTTTATTAGTAGCTTCTCTCCTCAGAGAGAAAATATTCCTTCCAGCTCATGATATTCGGACACAGTAAAGTGTTGCTCCTACGAGAGGCTTCAACGCTCAAAATCATGCTTCAGTTCAGGCCTCCAGAAGTATTACTTCAGTATCTGAGAAACACTTCAAGGACTGATTATTATCTTTTTGCCAAGTACCTGAAATTACATTTACTAACCTTGAGGCAACCATAAATTTAATTCCAAAGAAGAAAATGTGCTAATAAAAAGGAAAATTATCATGTAAGAATTGTTTATATTGTGCTGCACAATTCTTGTTACTCATAACGAACAGAAAGTAGCAAGAAGTCAATCATACAAATGATGGAATAAAATAAAGCAGAATTCTTACTAGACCAATAGATGAGAAAAGACATTCCCAATGCAAAAAAAAACCCAAAAAACAAAAAACCAAAAAAAAAATCAAACTTAAGTTTAAGGCAATATGGAACAGGAAGCTACTTGGCAAATCTTTAAATTAGATTGGTGCTTTCTTTCCAAATACTCCTAGAGACCTTCTGGAGGAAGACCTACTTGCTCTGCGGATGATTTCCAAAGAATACCACTGATGCAGCTTGCAAGATTCAGACATATATAAAAATCTCTGTGGAAATCGTGCACTGTAATGGGCTAGATGCTTCCCTTTTCTGAGTAAGGGGCTGTTGTTACTCTGAGTTACTTTAATTTTTTTTTTTTTTTTTAAGCAATGTTCCTCATCCATAAGCCCCACTCTCAATGCTCACATGCCAATACCTGCAGTGAAAATTGAACTGGGTTTTATCATCTCCCTTCCTTCCCATAAAAGGGCATAAGGACCATTACAGAAAAGTACGGGGAACGGTGCTTAACTTGACACTGCATCTCTTGAGGTTCCACGATTTCACAGCATAAAGATATAAGTGCATTGCACTAAGCATCCTAGTTGCCAGAAGTAATTAGCTAATGAAGTCAGATGATGAATCTGTCATTTTCTGGCAGTTAGATGTAACTACAGATCTGAATAACTAGAATAGTATTAAGATTATGGTCAGAACCAAGCTCTGTGAAATACCTGAAAAATTCAGTTTAAATAATTAATGGTTCTATTTCTATGGTTAAGAGTACTGAAGGCTCTCCAATAATGTATACACATTGTCCAGCTCAAAACCCCAGTCTAATAATTATTACCACGTCTTTTGGAGACTATACATATATTTTTAAAAGGTTATGAGCAAAAGTTATATGAAAAAATATAGTTTTTGAAAAGTAAAGTTTAGTCTTCATCATCTTGAGGCACAAGAGGTCACTGTATTGCATGGCATCTTGGTGATGATTTACTCTGGTCACAAATCACTTGAAGTAATTTGTAGGGTTTAATATGTAACAAGCAAGTGAGTAGGAAAAGGACAACCGAAAACCTGTCCCACATAAGGGACTGGAGATCCACAGACCAAAAGCTAGAAAAAGCTCAGTTTGCACAATGTAATATGAGGCACAGTTTCATAGCCCTAAATGATTTAGGCAAGCCATACGGCAAGAAACGGACAGGAACAAAGAACTCTGACACAGTCTAGTATAGAAGGAAAAAATGGTAGGCTATATTTGCTCAAGCCAAACAGAAAATTGGGAATTTTGATTTACTAACAACAGCAATTACTTTAATTCAAAAGGAATGTTTAGGTTTTTACCTAAATAGGTAAAATAGCTGCCAAGTGATTCTCATTACCTTGCTAATCCAAACACTTCCCATAGAGTTCCCACAGGAAAATTACAAACTTTAGCAAGGAACTCTAGCACACTGGCCTGATTCAAAGTCTCATGCCCTAAGAGAATAAGGGTCATCAGCTTGCTGCAGCCAGGAAGAGCTCTCCTCTTGAAACATCACTGGCATCTGGTTTAGGCATTAGGGCACACGTCACCTTATAAAGTTCCAAAAAAGGTGAGTATAGGATCTCTCTCGATATCACGGAAGGCAATGGTATTACTTTGGAAAAAACAGAGGGTTACAGCATCGATACTTTTCTTATTTCTAAATGTAGGAAGGTGACTGAAGATTTAGAAGCTAAAAATCAAAGCACCACTACCTAAAAATATATATTTATTTATGAATTAAAGACATTGGAAGAAACAGAACTGCTAAATGGTTTTTCAAGAGACTGAAATTCCAGTCACTAGACTTGATGGACAAAAAGTAGTAGTAATATTACTACTATTCTAAGACAAAAGAAGTTGTGCATCAGACACTTAAATATGTACCTTGGGAGGAAATGTTTTCTCAAATACTTTTTTCCACAGTTCCAAAGGCGTGTTTGCACGCAGTTTTCCAATATCGCTATCAGAAGCAGGTGGTGGTCCTAAGGATTATAGCAGAGCACAAAATAATACAAGTATGCTGTCATAACAACATGAACTATCAAATCACTTTGGACCACGGTCCACCTAATTTAATATTTTATCTTCAACAGTGACAAGCTGCTACAAACTTTGAAAAAGCATTGATCTCCTATCATGAAAGAGGCTGTGTTACTATTGCATATTATTATTATTTTGTTAGGATCTAAGCTTGACCATATCTTATCATTTGAAGTAGTAACGATACTTTACTACTACTTCACAAAACTGCACAGGTAACTGTCCATAATATAAATACTGAATCTTCATTTTAAACTTTCTAAGCCAGTTGCTTTAATGATCAGTTAAATCATGCGCTAAAATTTAAATTAATATTTAATCTGTTTAAATTTTTTTTTCTAGTTTTCATAAACAATTTAAGACATAAACGGAACAGGAAATGTCCTAACCTATTTGGTTCAGCGAATCCAGGCCTGCTGGTATAAACAGAGGTCTGCTGTGATCCACTGATACAGACTTACTAAACAGAGGGGAAAAAAAGTGAACATTTAGCAATCAACTATAAAAATTACATTATTCTAGCCAAGACTAAGACTGTCATTGGGCTCTGCACACAAATATAACTAAATAAAAATCTATTTAATTATATTGGTGACCATGCTCCTACTTTGTCAGTTTTGAGATCAAAACAAAGAGTTATTGTTGCCTGGTACAGAGAGACATGCAGTTGAGATGCAGGAGTAAAATGGCATGAACCAAAATCTTGCAGAGATGCTATTTTTGAAGAAAATATTTGGGTTATTAAAATACTCTTATGAAGTAATTGTAAACTCTGGGCAACTCATTTAATAGTAGGATAAAAATTATGTTACCTTTTATCAAAGCCAAATGCAAAGTTATTAATAAGAACACGGGCTTTCAGCAGAAAAAAAACAGCAGGAGAGCCTCAGATTTACTGGTAAACTAAAGGAAATCAGAAAATAAAATATACATTATGATCTTCAAGCATAGAAATATTACATGTTATGTCATTTGCACAGAAGATTACAAATAGAGCCTGGCTAGTTCCTGACCTCAGCAAATTAAGTGTATGTTCACTCGATTCACTAGGATAAAAATCTCACCCTCCCTTTCCAAAACATGAATATATTTGTCACTAAGTATATAGATCAAGAAAGACTAAAAATAGCATTACAGAAAAAAGATTAAAGATTAATATATGGATTCACAGTTTCTGAAGCATACACATTAAACTAACAGATACAAATTTTTTGCTTGAGATGAATGAGTTAAGATTTTAAACTATATTAAAAATTATCCACAATACCAAGAACATTTAGAGATGTAACAAACAACTATAAATGTGTTCACACATCATAAAAGTAGCTTGATAGTCAGAGGGAGACTTGGTACCGATTTCTCAGAAAAGAGCTCCCAGAATATCTTCTCAAGCAGCGTGCTTATTTCTCTCTTTTGTATCTTTTGTATCTTTTGTACAGTATCTTTTGATACTTTTGTATCTTAACAAATTCACGTCTTTGAGAACCAAGTTAGATCCCTAGTGAAGGAAATGAAGCTTCTCCCACTGATTTCGATGGGAATCAGGATTTAGTATCCAAAGAGGAGTATTAAGCTCCTACTTTTTCATTTTTAATTAAAATAACATTTAAATACATTTTTAAAGATCAATATGGTATTATTCTCAGTGAACAAAAGAGGAATTCACATGCCATAAAGGAAAACAAAAATCTGTCACCTAAAGTCCTCTTAAAACTGCAAGATACCTGGCCTTACAGTGATGCTTCAGATGAGTATCCTTAAACTGCTGGGAAGATGTGCCCTTTGATCCATGATTTTAAATCTACAGAAGCCTGGTCGCTAGACACAAGCTCATACTGCTACCAAATGGGCCATTTCTCTACTTCTACCTAGGACAATCACTTTTCCTGTCCTGCTTTCTTGTACTAGCAAAAACTTTTGCCCAGCCACACAGTGAACTAAGTTGAGGAACTGAGCTGAATAACAGGTAACTATTTTGACAGTTTTTGCTGGTACTGGAAATTATGTAGTTTGCTTATTCTCAGGGCATATTCATCCATCTCCAGCCAGTACCTGCAATCCGTTTGAGAAATTAGGTCATGGAGGGAGCTATTGTAAGAGCAATTACATCCTATTTTCTCTAAGAGTTTTATATTTCTATTTTGCAGAATATTATCTCATAGCATAAACATTGCTCATCTTTTCTTTCCTTAGCTAAAAAGTGAACATACGCACCACTAATGATGCTCCATAATAATGTGAAACAAATCGAAGCGTCTTGCTTATTATTTTCCTCATTTCAGAGTCAAATTCCTGAAAAAGTTGATATTGGAACGTATGTGTAAGAAACAAAACCCAAGATATTACAGCCAGAACTTTTCAATTTTTTATCTAAACTGCAATGCACTTAGGCTACAATATACGAGGCGTTCAGCTGTCACCGTAATTATATCTTAAGACAGAATCAGTAACAGCCTACTCTGATTGAAAAGAAATGTCACAATTTTCTTTTGTTTCTTTTTTTACAGAGGCAGCCTAACTCAGTCAGTATATTATTCTAGAAAAAGTTTCTTAATTGGGAATAAGTATTCAATTTCCAGTTAGTTTCTATTCCCTTTTGTTTTAAATTTTTAGAAGGAGAAATACTGCCTACTAGAACAAGGGTTTATTTTTCTTTTTGTCAAAATATTTGAATGTCAGTAAACCTTTGGCTACATGCTTTCTAAATTATAATAGTTGCAAGATTTGAAAGGTGCATCAAAATATTTTTTAATCAATATTTCTTTAATATAAGATCATATAGATGGCCCTCCCTGCAGAGAGTGGATGAAAACCTGGTCCGAATGGAGCCCAGAAGATTCTGTTCATAGATGCCAATGGAATTAGGCTTGTTTCGAGTGTTTATTACACGAGAGTTATTGATTTTAAAGGGGTCATGGCTCAGCATAAAGCCCCAGTATGAAAGAATGCCCAGCACCTTATTAAAACAAATTAAATAATTCAGAGTCAACCTAGCATCAAAGCACTATGTTGTCATCTAGAGAAGCACAAGATGCCAGCAAGCCAGCTCAAAATCAAACATGCTCTTCTAGCTTCTTATGAGCAAGTGCTACTTGAAAATTAAGTACACATTTGTTTTAATTTTTGAAATACTGGGAGGGAATCGAGCAGTATTACTTCCTGATATTTCTTCCTTCTCCCCACCAATACCCCTAAGAGATGCAATTACTCACTGGTCTGTAAAAACTGGTAAAATAAATACTTTAAAAAAAGCAAATTTGAGAATGAAATAACAGTTTACTGTTCTTTCTACCACAACCACCAAAAATTGTGGCCAGCTGACTTGAGAGATGCATCTTCCATTGTATATAGATACAGCTGCAGTCAGAAGGGACAGATGGAGCTGGATTTCTCTCATTATAAAAGAAAGGGATCAACATGATGTCTCCTTGCTTCCTTCCTTGGTCTGCAGCTATTTATATCTGCAGTCTTTTCAAGAATATCACAGAAATCATCTATTTGGGAGTGTTCTGTGAAGGAATGACAGCATGTCTGCCATAATGCCATTGGATGGAAAGATTTTTTGTGTTAGAAGGCTGACTGGTCATATTTTTGGTCACATGATCACTATTATGCTACCAAGATTTTATTATATTGTAGAATCTTTACCAGGAATCTTTTCATTATAAATATAAAATATTACTTACATGAAAGATATCATATTTGCTTCCAATTATCACAAGAGGCAATGGAAAAGGGTCAACTAACTCATAATCCTATTAAACAGATACATTACAGTTAAGCAGCGTAAGAAAAGTGTAGAAGATTGATATAGTTAAAGGAAAGGCGCTAAGATTAACTCACAGAAGACAAGGCTTATTCTTTCAAGCCTTAAATTAGAAACATAACTTTAATTCAGTATCCATACCATATTCTACAGTTTTCTCAGTTTCTTCAGAAGTGGTCAGGACACAACCCCTCTGAGCAGTCAGAATATTAATCAGCATTAAATTGATAGCATGGGCTCTTGCACTATATACTCCACCTCTAACATCAGATGAGGGCCAGGGAAGGGAAGCAGGTAAAGCCTCTATATACTCTCCCTCTCACAGCAACTCTCAGTTTGGACTAGCATAACTGGCTCTCTGACACGTTCCCCTCTTTGCATCATACCCAAAGTAATGCAGACGCTAGCCAAAGAAAATTAAACAGAACGACTTGCTTGTGTCACACATTTGTCCTGCCCACGTCGTGTTCTCCAAATTCTTCTAAAAATTAAATTTGATTATGAACAGAGAGAGGAAAACACCACCCAATGACTGTTAAAGTGTAAATAACTATCAGTGGAAGAAAACAGCTCTAGGATGTAGATTTACTGTTAAATACATTACAATAATCCTCAAGTTATCTGGCAGGTTTTCCAGAAATCCACATGACTTTAAACTATCCTCTCATGTCAGCTGTAGTGGTCAGCTGTCCACATAATGATTTAGTGAAGCTGCTTTCACTGCAGCAGAGTGGAAGAGACCCATGTTGTAACAGAGGCTGACCTAACTGTTCTCTCCTAAAGCTGGTTACTTTGCATACAGGTTAAATGACTGTCAGTATATTGGCAAGAAGCTATAAATACTGAAAATCCTTTACTTTGAAAGGAAAAAATAACGGCTCCATTCATACACTGCCAAAGCAACACCTTTCAGATACATTACCCTCACTTAAAATGGGGTGTATGGAACAGAAAAAAAAAAAGGGGGGGGAAGAGCTAGTTTCTTAACTAAGAAAAGATTAATTCAGAAAAACATCAGAAACATGAAAATATGCATACTGACCTGTATTCATCTAGCTTTTCAACTTTTGATTACGAAATATTTTAGGTGCATTCAGCCTTTTTAAAGGAAGTTTGCCCTCGATACACTTATGCTTTACCATCATAGCCAAAAATTCCTTATGCAGTATAATGGAATATACCCAGTTATTAAGAAAACCTCTCTGAACCTCATCAAGCCCTATTAATCATAAAAATATCTTTAGCTACAAAAAAGCAGATAAAAATTTCCTTAAATTGTCAGCTACTTTTTTGACTCTTAAAGACAGTATTTCCTCCTACAAAAGGGACATTATTTATTTCTTGAACAATGATGAAAGTTTAAAGAGAACCTAGTAGTAACATAACATTGTGTTTGCCCTCCCTGCTGTTTTCCATAATGAAGGCTGAATAGAAATGCTAGTTCAGAATGTATAATTATGTTCCCTACAGGGCAAGTATAAAAAGCCTTTTCTTCTTAACAATTAATAATTTTTTTTAATTATTGAAAGAAGTTTGTGGTTTTCAGATACTGAAAGCCCAATATGTAACTCTGATATTGTGGTCGTGATTTGTGTCCATGTGCATTTGAAGGCATCTTCTTTTTGTGAACTACTTTCTCTAAAAGTAAAAAATCAAAATCATAATCCAGCAGAACAGGAGTCCTATACTCTAAATCTATTGAGTACTGCATATGTTGCTTTCTTAAAAATATTAAGTTACTTTTCAATTTTTGAACTGCATTGAGCATTTGCAAAATTGCAGCATTTTATAGAAGTTACAGTGTCTAGATTTATGTTCCAAGTCTCTGAACTGCTGAATACCTATTTACGTGTTATATAGGCACAACATTTGTAGAGGTTTAAAGCACAATGCCTTTTCATTTCTATTGCGCATAATCTAGTTTAGCTTTTCCAGAGATTTAGTTAGCAATTATGTTTAAAGAATTGATGTTAACATTTCTGAAACTTTATAATTTAATTAGTTGTCAGATTATCAAAAGGCATTGAGTTTGTGATAGACATTTAAATAAATGCAAAGTATATAGTCATGTTGATGGCTGTTATAACTATATTCTTTGCTTAAATTTGTACCTTCAGCTAGTCTCTTGCTAGATGACTTTTGTACATTCTAGTTTTCATCTTCATTTAAAAAAAGATGAGGGGGGGAAAAAAGCAAACTGCTACTCTAAAACTATTTCTTTTGATTGGTGTAACATGCCATAACAATCACATTAGATATCTAACAAAAAGATATAAGAAACCTTCTTTCCTTGTTTCTGCTCTTACTGAATTTTTATTAAATTGCTATAATTTTCCAGTGAACAGGTTCATCTACATCAAATGGATTTTCAGTCAGGCATAAAAATCGAAAAGAGTTGTTTACGATTTTCAAACGCATTATCTTTAACTGTATAAAGGCCTGTGACATCTTGAGAAAACATTAGAAGTAACTTACTGGATGATCCTTCTGTAGATTGTTCCACATCCTCTGTTTAATTTCAGTAGCTACGTCAGGATTTGTCTTTTCCAGTTTGGTTAGAATTTTGTTCACGTGGTTCCTGGTGACCTGCAGAAGACTTTCCATGGTAGTCCAGAGTTCGTTAGGTTTGGAAAGATCCAATACAAGAACTATAGCAAATGTCCTATTTAAAAGAAAAGGCATTATTTGGTAAAATCTTTAGCATATAACACAATTAGCATTGTCCTCTACAATCACACCTTAACTACAAATGCTGAAAGCAAAATATGTGAAAATACAAGTGCTAAGATAGAACTATATAGAACAGCAAAAGGAGATGGCTTTTAATAATACTCTGAGCTCTGAGGAAACCTATTCATTGTCTTGTTCAGAGCTATTACTTTGGCAACTTCCCATCATAAGTTTTTAGGGACTGCTTATGTATATATGTGTGTATATACATGTACCAAACTTAATTTCTGGAGATTTTGTTTCAAAGCAGTAGAATTTGCAAGTGTCCTGAGCCCATCTAGCTCCTTCCTCCTGTATCACTTCAGTCTAACAATACCATGTATCCCTCCCAGTTGAAGCAATGTTAACAAACGTCAGGCTCTTTCCTAACCTTGTACATATTATACAGTTCTGTACTTTAGTTATTCTTTTGTAATATGAAACAGAAAAAGTTGGTAAGGGGCATTATTCTGTGACACGGACTGCTGTACCAATTAGTTGGAACCTCAAATAAGCATATGAGAATGTCTTCTGAAAGACAGATCAAGAAAGAAAGAAGACTGAGTACTCAAAACATACGTATCAGCTACCAGGACTACAACAGGAAATTCTTGCATATAAACTCTTTTCCTCTTCCACGAAACCCCCCTGAAAGTTCCAACATTAAAACGCAGCTGTGAAGCAGAACATTGCAAATGCAGCAAACTGACTGGATACAATGATTCTTTCATGTTCCACCGTGACTTTAGAAAGTGGATTCCAAAGAAGAATGATACCAGAAACACTACAAAGCAAAATAAACGTCCAATTTCACTTTAGAATGCAATAAAAAAAAAAAATCTATTGAAATGTCTCTTGGTGAAACTAGATATAGTTCATGGAATTTTTAAATAATTCCTTGACTACAGGCAGATGAGAAAACCAGTGAAAAACATTTTACTGAAAGGGTAGTATTTTTGTGTGGTATGTTAAAATACTGCCTTACAAACAAACATGGTCTTAAGGGTCTGTGATGGGATAGCAACATTTTTCTTTAAGATCATCCATACTAGAAGATTCCTTATCAGCCAAGAGCAGGGAGAAGACTGAGGAGCTGGAGCTCAGTTAAATTCATTCAGATAATGGTTCAACACTGCTAGTTGATTTTTCCTTCCAACTCACTAAGCAATTCTGGCAACAAGAAGCTTCACGTGCCAGAAGTGTTTCTTTTTTCCTTCTGTATTAATGTATCAAGTCATGACATTTTCTCACGAGCCAGTACAGTAGCAAATGTAGGTGATAAAAAATAACAGCCTTCCCAATAATTTTCAATGGAAATTAAAGCTCGCTACCAAAGGAATAAAGCAATGCATCAGAATATAAATATAATATGTGAGGTTTTTTCCATTCTTTTCCCTCCTTCAACTCTTTTTTTTCCCCCTAACAAGAAGGAAAACACAAAACGTCCCCCCCATCACCTTCTCTTTTCTTTATGCAAATAGCATCTACCTTCTTCTTCCTGTGGTACTGCTACTCTTTTATGGATTATTCTCCCTACATTCTCTTTATTGTCTCTTAATTCACTTTCCTTTTCTTCTCAAATTGTTTTAATAGTTTTAGTCTCTCAGAAACATCATCTCTCTTCTCTTGTATGATCTTCTTTTCATCAGATGGCCGCGCTACTTCTTCCCAAAATATTTTCTCCTTACTGTCTTTACCTTGTCCTTCACCCTAAAAAACCTCCCCTCACAGAGAGACTGCATGCAGAAGTGGGAAGCCAGATTTTATCTTTGATATGCCCCCCAGCTGCTCTTTCTGCTCTTCAACTGACCATAAAAAGAAGCTAAGTATTCTCTTTTTCTGTGTCTCTTGTACCAGCTACTTAAGGACAACCCACTTCCCTCATGGCGCTGCTTTCTCTTGTTGTTGGAGATTGCTAAGAACTTGGCTTATTAGGAGAGAATCATGAAAAGGAAGGTCAAAGAAAAGTATCAGTGGTATTAGCATGATTTTTAGAAAAATTCACAAACATTTTATCTAGTATTTTGAAAGTTTTCCACAATGAAAAGTCTAGAGATTTACTTTTGTTTGAATGAAAGCTGAGATCAATTTGGTATTTTAATATCAAGCACTTACCTTATGTTGCTGCTAGTGATTGGTATTCGAATCAGTTCCAGTAATGAGGTTCCACCACCTAGTTCCCAAAAATGAGCTACATCTTTAGGCTGCAAAAGAGTTTCTTTGCATTAGAAACGTGCATTTCCATGCAACATCAATAAAAGATCTTGACGCTGGTAAAATTGGCTTTTACATGCAAGTAACTCAGAACTATATTATTTCATTAGTTTTTTCTAAAGAAAAACAAACAAAAAACCCCCAAACAAAATATCAAAGTGAAAAAAACCCCACACGTTCAAGAAATCCCACCTAACACTTATGGAAGACTCCTGGCAAACCTGTGACTACCTTGATAAATGACTACTTTAAAATAAGAAAACCCAAAAAGTAGCGTGATTAATGTTAAACACAAAAACTCATGTTATCTTCCTTTTGCTTTTGTTCGTTGCAACTAGAGAAAGTATCAGACTCAGGCTTTTGGAGATGCTTGCAACTGGGAAAGTAACGTACCTTATCTTCCTTTTCAGTTTCTGGGAAAAGTTATAAATGATTTTTATCTTTCAGATGGAGTCAGTTCTTTCATTCCTTGCTTCAGTAATAAAACAGTAATTACCTGAGGCAATAGTTGTTATTGCTGGGCAGTGTTGTGCAGTGATGGGAACTGGTTCGATATTTCTGTTAACATAATCTACAGCGCAGAACTTCATAACATTAACAGTTAACAGAAAAATTTAACTAAGATTTAATATCCGCTAAGACGAGTATTTTGCTCATAAATCTGGTTATAAAGTATCTTCATTGATTTATACTTATTTTATATTCTAAAGACAAAGCTGAAGACTTGCATCCAAAGTAAAACTATGCATCATCTTACAACAGGAAAATAAAAGCACTCATACACTACAGACAAGGCAGTGTTTATAGATGAAATTGATTGCTTTGTGTTATACTTTAGTCTGATCTAATGCATTTTAGTGAAAAGGAAAAACATTAAAAACATTAAATATAAATTTAAGCTAGCTAATTTTTCTAAAATGAAATTCAAAAAATCCCATTTGTTTCACATACAAATCAATAAGCTAAAACCTAGAGTTTACTTAAAGAAAAAAAAAAAGGACTATACAGATATATTACAACTTTCTGGGTACTCACTGCATTATGTCTCTTTGCTCTTCTTCCAAATGTATATTCCAAGGCTAATGTTGGTTTTGGAATCTCTTCCCTATCCAATGAAAAATGATTTTATTTTCTCAAGATCTTCTACAAATATTTAGAACAAATGAAGTCACTTCTACTATTACTAAATTCGATTTAACAGTCGTTACAGAATTGGGGGTAGCAACAGCAACACAGAGAGTGCATTTTAAGACAACAGGTCTCAGTTCATTAGATGTTGCTAAAGGCAGGAGAAGCAGCAGCACCAATGTGAACAGCAGGCTATTTGACATCTCTCATATTGGAGAGGAGGACTGAAAGGGTCAGATGACAGGTGGTAATGAAGGGGAACAAGTTTATCCTTATCTGATCAAAAGGTCACAGAAAATAACGGTACACATATATTATGAATGATCACACAATATAATTATTTATGTGAAATTCTGCAAAGATTATCCAACTGGCTTTAATAATATAAAGATGTAGATGCTTAAATACCATTATAAAACCCTGGCAAATAATTGCATGGATTACAAGGCTAAATCTACTTGTTCCCAATATTTTAAACAATTCTCTTTTACTGGCAGCTGCTTCTTGTAACATTCTTTATGATGATCAGCATTTCAGTATTCAGTTGAAAAATACGTTGAAAAATTAACATGTACCTGTCAAGACATCTCAGTATTATAGTAGTTTTTCCCTGGAAATTAAAAACAAAGAAGGTGGCTACTACAATATCATTAGAGCATAAAAGCTGTATAGTTAAATGCAACTCATTCTAGCATTCTAGTACTAAAGTATCTGAAAAGTGTAAACTCATGTAGTTGTTTGTAGCCTTATTAGTGGAAACTTAACTGCCCACTTCCTGTCAGAATACAGTTACACTACCATTATTATAATTATAAACTAGTGGAGATGACAAATATAGTAACAGTGTACATAAAATTAGACATTAGTGATCAACCTGGCCAACTCTATTAAACTGTTCAACCATTTTTAATTGTTAAAGATATGTTGATTTAATGATTGGTTTCCACTGGTTTGGCTTAAATTATTAGTGATTAGAGGGAAATAAAAAGAATGCTTAAAATATGCATAAACATACCAAAAAAAGGCTTTGCACTGCTGAAATTGAGACAATAAGGACAATGTCACTTAAATGGGATAGCACTTGTACAGTTTCACCCCTGTTTCCCTTCCTACCCCAAAAATCAATGAATTTCACGTAAACCTGAAAAGTCTTTGTACTTTAAAAATGACTTTAAAAACTGCAGGAATAGAGGTGGTAGATACATCAACCCCTCCGAAATAAAAACTATATTCTTTAAAATATGTTTAATATGAAACCATTTAGATAAAAAAGCAACTATTTCCTTATTTACATTTCAAATAAATGTTAACAGAAAAAAAAAAATTACTAATGATGAAGCTTATGGGACAATGTAACCTTGGGCATGTGGGACCCTGAGTCTGCAATCACTTATAATGCATTTTCAAATTTATGTCATATAAATATAGAAACCACTCTCAGTAGGATGCCAGGGCTTCTATTCACAAAAAAAATTGGTATCCATGCACCTAAACTAGTTTGTTATCAATTAAACCTCTGCAAGGGGAAATTTGGTGACAAAGAATTAGACAAAAGTATTATTCCTGGCTACTGCTTTTACAAAAATCAATGAAGCCAAACCCCAGAGAATTAGCCTATCATTTATTAGAGTGGTTGGAGTTTTGGCTCTCCAGAGCATAAACTTCAGCTTCTGAATTGTAATAATATCTAGTTGTCCTGCATACGAATAACAACTCTCTGCAGAATCACAGCATACAATATTTTATCTTTACCGAGAATTAAGTGAAGCAGATGCTTTTCAGGTATTTTCCCTGATGCAAACTGTGGTCAAAGGAAGCACGTAATCATACAGTACTTAGCATTACCCCATTCTTGTTTCCCATAAATAACATTGATTTTTCTGAAACTTCCACTCCGTCGCCATCGCCTTCAGGGTTTTCTCTTTTCTCCACTTCAGCTATTGCAATATCCCACAAAGTATCACTAGATGGAAAAACAAAATGTCATTAGAGAAAAATAATTAACCCAAGATATTTATCCATTTAGAGCTTTTCAGGAAATGAAGGGTGTCGTGCTTCTTTCCCCCTCCTTTTCATAGCACGTTCCTTCTGCTTGTCAGAGCATATGTGTAACTATATATATATATTTTT